TTAAAACACTGTTTTTGCAATTTTACAGAATAATTTTAAGTGTTAAAGACTGTAGCATAAAACATGCAGTTTGGGTTTGGAAATTAATATTAAATTATTTTAAAAACAATATAGCTGAGATGATAGCATATGCCTAACAAAGCCAGCACTCAGAAAGCTAAGGTAGGAGGATCACTATCCACAAGTTCTAGGTCAGCCTGCAAAGTATTCACCAAACTAGCCTGGAATACACAGTAAGACCCTGACTGATAAAGAAAAGAAAAAACAAATTATTGTACACCTTACAGGTATGGTTTAGAAGTGAGAAATACAACACAATACAAACCAAAGTTCCTTTCATCCTAAACTTCCACAAATGAGTATACTTCAGAAAAATGAAGTAGTAAAATGCTGCCTTCTCAACAGTTTGGTACTACAGAGCTGGGGAAGTAGCTTAAATTGGTAGAGGGCTCACCTAACATGAATAAGGCCATGGGTTACATCTCCAGCACAGAATAAACTAGGCATGATGGTTTATTCCTGTAATTCCAAAAACTGGGAAGGTAGAGGCAAGAGAAATCATTCTACATCCAAGTTTTAGGGCTACATGAGATCCTATCTCAAAGAAGAAAGGAGGAGGAGGAAGACAAAAAGAAAAGGTTCATGAGTATAGAAGCACAAATCTACAAAACTGAGCCAGGCATACTGTGATAACTTTAATCTCAGCAGTCAGGAGACAGAGGCAAACAAATTTCTGTTAAGTTCAAGGCTGGACTGGTCTACATAGCAAGTTCTGGGCTTGCCATGAAACATGGAGACCCTGTCAAACAAACACAAAAACAAATAAGTGGGCCTGGTGTTGAATGCCTTTATTCCCAGCACTTGGGAGACAAAGGCATGTGAATCTCTTAAGCTCCAGGCCAGCTAGGTTTTACTAAGTAAGTTCCAGGACAGCCAGGGCTACATGGAGAAACCTGTCATGAAAAACTATTAATAGCAAAAATATTAATGACAAATAAAGTAAGTAAATAGAAAGAATTATATATCTGACATAAATTGGACCAATAAACTGGTTCAATATTTGTTTAATACTAAAAAAACTAACATAACCTTATCAAGTTGGTTTGTAAAAAGCACTTTCATAGACCAATACCAGTAATGAGATTGAAACCTAGATCAGTTAGCATTCCTACTAATAATTAAGTTGGATCCCTTACTTTATATCATTTATAACCTTTTTTTTTTTTTTTCTTTTTTGAGACAAAGTTTTTCTGTGTAGCCCTTGCTGTCCTTGAACTCACTCTGTAGAACAGGCTGGCCTTGGAACTTAAAGGCATGTGCCCACCACTGCCTGGCTGACCATAAATACAAATTTAAGAGCTAAAACTATAAAATATTAGAAAGAAGTCAGGGTTCCAACTTAATTTTTTTGAATGTGGCTATCCATTTCTCCTACTGTATATTGAAATTTACTGAACTTTAAGTCTAATTATTCTCAACTATAAGCTGATTATTTTGAGGCAGCATTCTTTAGATGTATGCCAAAATTCCTGTTGTGTAGATGAAGGGTCCTTATTTAGTGCTGCATATTAAGCTGTAATAACACACTGCGACTGGAATTCAGAAGACAGTATATAATGGCTGTGGGTTTTTTTGTTGTTTTGTTTTAAACAAATCACTTCAATTCTTTGCTTTTGTGTTATTTCTCTTTGTATTTAATGAAGCTAAAGCTTAACTATTTATTATTTTTATGGTACTGGGGATCGATTTAGGGCCTTGTACTTGTTAGGTAAACATTCTAGCTCATCACACATTCCCCTGCTTCATTGGCCTTTTGATCAATTATACATACCATCAGCATCTGAGGTTCGAAATACAAACTGAAGCTAGAGTATTGCGCCTTCCCATGTCATCTGCATACAAATACCGAATGGCTACCCTTCTTGTCACTAGTACCAAATCCAAAGCCAAGTAACTGCCTCAGACACTATGAAGGAAACCAGAGATTTTCATTTGAATAATATAACATAGTCATTGGAAAAATACCAACACTTTGTACTAGTTTTGAAAAAAAAAAGTGCTAACAGATGTAAACATATTAAGTCTTTTTTAAGACATGATCATAGTTTCAAATATTTTGTCTTGTTAAGTCACCAAAAATCCTAGAAACTCCAATAGTAGAACAAATGTAAACTATATATCCTGGAACACCTCATAACCAGAAATACTTTGCCAGACCATATTTTCAGGTCCAACTGTATTGTCTTCATAGACACAAACTCATTTATCTGATCCTTAAAAATACAGTTGGGAAGCAGAAATTGTAATAAGAAATCTACATTGCCACAGATTAAGGGGAAAAAAAGATAGAAAGTTTCACACAAAATAAGAGCAAATATATCCCTCCAGGTTAAGTTCTTAAGGGGGTTCTTTTTGTTGTTGTTTTGTTTTTCAAGACAGGGTTTCTCTTTGTAGTCCTGGCTGTCCTGAATTCCCCTTATAGACTAGGCTGGCCTCAATCTCACACCTCTTCATCCGAAGAGCTAGGATAAAAGGCATGTGCCACCACCGCCCAGCTTCAAGAGGGTTCTTGGAGACAGCACTTAAGTTGGCCCACAGTAAGAACCATGAAAGCAGAAAGAGTGGATTAAATAAAGACCAAGACAAGAGACTTCAAAGGAACACAAAATTTAAGTTTGGCTGGACTGAGTTTCACTAAGGGAAGAAGAAAAAAAATTTAAGACTAAAAAATATATCAACACCAGACTACTGATAAATTTGAGCAGCATAAAGGAGTTCGAATTGTTTTCATTAATTTCTGTAGGCTTATATATTGTGGTAAGATGTGTGTTTAAATACACAAAATATAATTTACCCAAGGCATAAGTGGGGCACAGTTATTTCAAATAAATTACCACAAATCTGGAGAAAAATGTTTAAATAAAAACCCGAACCATGTTACATAAAAAGTTAGCATCTGCTGGGCGATAGAGACCCATGCCTTTAGTCCCTGCACTCGGGAGGCAGAGGCAGGTGGATCTCTGTGAGTTCGAGGCCAACCTGGTCTACAGAGGTAGTTCTAGGACAGATTCTAAAGCAATAAAGAGAAACCAAAAAAAGAAACAAACAAACAAAGAGCATCCTACTTTTGCAACTACATTTACTTCAAAGTTTAAACTTTATAAAAGCAATATAAATAAAAATACATGGAATGGCTCTCACTGTGTCAATTACACATGAATCAATTTACCTCAAATGTTGTACAACTGAATTATGTTAATCCTCAGAGTTTGTTTATTTATTTATTTATTTATTTTGAGGTAGACATGTTTTCTCTGTGTAGTCCTGTCTTGGAACTCTATCTGTGGACCAGTCTGGTCCAGAACTCAGAGATCCACCTGGCCCTGCCTCTAGAATGCTGAGACTAAAGGCATTCACCACCATGCCAGGTTTAACCCTCAATCTTTAAAAGCAATATGCCATCACCCCATCAGTACACTGATCTGGATCAGGGCCATTAGCTTAAAATACACTACCATGAATAAGTTCATCATGCTATCCAAAATACATTTCAAGAGTAAATAAATAAGTGTCCCAACGCTGAACAGCATTAATAAAAGGTGTTTAAAAAAAAGCAACAAATAAAAACCTCCCAAAGCATTCACCAAATAACGTTCTCTCCAGAAAAAGTAAAATGTCATTACTGAGACATTTTAACCCCTCACAAACCAATAAAAAGTTACAAAACGTTAATGAGACTATTTTAAGAACCCCAAAATCAAGAGAGGCTTCTAAATATATTTTATAATTACTTCATTTAATTAAAACTAATAATTAACAGGATCCAGGGTTTCTCTGTGTAGCTTGAGCCTGTCCTAGAACTAGCTCTTGTAGACCACGTTGGCCTCGAACTCACAGACTTCCGCCTGCCTCTGCCTCTCAGAGTGCTGGGATTAAAGGCATGTGCCACCACCGCCCTGCTTCACAGGACTTTCTAATGGCCCCCGTCAAACCCTTACTTGGGCCTCCCCTGACTTCTCTACATATACCAAGTCACCCATGTTTAATCAACAAAAGTACCATGGATGCTTCAAAAGTTGACAGAAAGTCAACTAAATGAGAGCCCACAGGGTGGAGGAACCATTCATTATATAACACTTCGAAGTATTTGTACATCACGTTTATTAACATCATCAAGGGTCAAACGTACGGTGAGACCAAACACTGGGAGCAGTACGAGGCACTTATAACAGTGAGTCAGGGGGTAACCGAAAGGGGAAATCGAGGGCTGAGATACAAAATTCTAAGCAAGGTGGTTTCAAAACACCAGTGTTTCTCCAAGATAATGGGCGGGTTCAAACTTCCTGCTTAACCTAAACTGCCTGTCCCCGGCGCTTAAAACAAGTATTACAACTCTTTTGTCTGTGCAACGACCGGCCTAATCTGAGTAGAAAAACAAAACAACAAGAAAAACACAAGGTAGTTGCACTAAGTGATCGTTACCAGAAGCGGAGTTCCAGGTACCCATCGCCACCCGAAGCTTCAACTCTCACCCTGATTTGCTTAAAAATGGCAACAACGGGAGGCCACTGCGAGGCGAAGAGAAAGCGAACAAGGGACCACCATACAAGTTTGGAGACCAGCACCAACTTAAAGCGACGAATCCGGGTGTTTACGGCCTACAGGGGAGTGGGCACAGGACGCACACACTCGGACTCGGGAGGAACCCCAGTCGCCGGAATGCGGCGGGCAGAAGGGCAGAGCCAGCCAGGCAGCCGACCGCGGTCAACTCAGGTCGGTAAACAAGCCGGGCGGGCCACTCTCCCTCAGCCCCCGGGCTGTCCCCGCGCCGGGAAGCCCAAGATGGACGCGCGGCTGCCGGCAGTCCCGGGCCTGCGATGCGCTTTCCCGCAAGGCTGCCACCCGGAGGCTCGGCTACCTGGGCCCCGCGAGGCCCCGTCAGGCCGCGACCAACCCGCGAGGGGCCTGTGGAGCGGCGCCCCCAGCCCTGGCCCGGTTACCTGGCGGCCGCGGCTCCTCCTCCCCGTATGACGCGCGGCGCCCAGCGGCCGCGGCGGCGGCGGCGGCGGCAGCGACTCCCGCACGGCCCGCGGCGACGAGCCGAGTCCGGCCCCTCTCCGCCTCCCTCGGCGCCGCCGCCCACCCCGCTGCTGCCGCCTCCGCCCTCCCGCCTCAGTCAGGGCATGTTCTCCGCGGGCCCGCGCGCGGCTCCCAGCGGCCGGAGGGGCGGAGAGGCGGCGCGGAGGCGGGGGCCGCGGCTCGGGGGCAGGGGCGGAGCGGACGTGGGACGGCCTCGGGCGCTGAGGACTCCGAATGGCGGCGGTCAGGACCCTAGAGCTAAATAAACCCCGCGGCGACCGCACAACGTCAGGGACTGGACCTTGCTGCTCGGCGTCCTGTGATTGGTTCCGAGGCCGCCGGAGGCCCAGCCAATAGACAGCTGCCTCTTTCCGGGCGCAGGAGGAGGGCCACGGCCGTGACGTCAGCAGCGTGCATCCTGATTGTGAGGCCGCGGCGCGCGCGCTCCCGCGACGCGTCCTCGGCGTTGGCGAGTGTCCTAAAGAGCAGGTGCCGGATGCTTTTGAAAGGCAGGAAGCAGGTACACGGGATGCCATGGAGCACTCGTTTCTGTGGCAGAGTCGCCAGATCTTTGAGTCAAACGCGTGTCTTGCATCTCAGAAGTGAACTGCTGGCGAACTAGGAGGCTGCTTCGAGGTTCCTTAGGCAGTTTAAAACCTTTTTCCTTTCTTTTTTTAAATGTCAGTATTTTGAAACAGGCTCTCATTCTGTCGCTAAAGCTGGCCTGCAACTCCTAATTAATCTTTCTACCTCAGCCTCCCAGAGAGTACTGGGATTACAAGCTCTGCTTCCTTTACATCATTTTCCCTATTTATTTATTTCATACGGGGGTCTCTTGTACTGCCTGCTTCTAACCCCACTAAACAGCTGAGACTGACCCTGAATGAACTCTTGAACCTTCTGCCTCAGCCTCCCGAGTGCTGGACTTAAGGTGTGTCACTACCCTTTTATACTCAAACTTTTTCAAAGTGTAAGTTGATTTAGAAGTAATGTGGTATGGGGTTGCTCAGCGGTAGAGTGCGTATTTCTCACGTAATGTGTTGAGGGGCTAGAGAGAGAGCTCAGAGGTTAAGAGCGCTGACTACTCTTCTAGAAGTCCTGAGTTCAATTCCCAGCAATCACATGGTGGCTCACAACCATCTCTAATGAGATCTGCTGTGCAGACATACTGCAGGCAGAACACTGTATAAACAATAAATAAATCTTAAAAAAAAAAAAAGTAATATGTTGAAGACCCAAGAGATGGTTCAGTGAGTAAAGGTACCAAGCTTAACGACCTGAGTTCCATTCCCACTACCTACATAGTGGAACAAGAGAACTCCCAGAAGTTATTCTCAGAGCTACATATACAATAAGCAAATGTAATTTAATAATAATAATATGGAGTCTGGAGAAATGGCCGGCATTTAAGAGCACTCTGCTCTTTCAAAGAACCCGAGTTCAGTTCCCAGCAGCCGCTTCAATGGCTTCAATGGGTCCTCTTGTACCATCAGCACCCACATTCACTTGCACAAACACACAGACACACATAATTAAAAATAAAAATGTTAAGCTGGGCATTGATGACTCACCTTTAATCCCAGCACTCACAGAGATCCACCTGTCTCTGTGAGTTCGAGGCCAGCCTGGTCTACAAAGCTAGTTCCAGGACAGGCTCCAAAGCTTCACAGAGAGACCCTGTCTCAGAAAAAAAAAAAAAAAAAAAAAAAAAAAAAAAAAAAAAGAAGAAAACTAAATAGATAAAAATGTTTAAATAGTACTGTTGAAGGGAAATTACAGCACTCTGGGAGGGCATTTAGTAGCTGTGTTGGATATATCAGGTATAAGAGGATGACCAGTTACTTGAAGTTTGATGTTTCCAAATTTGGGTAGGAACTCACTTTGTAAAGCTGTCTGAGGTATTCTGAGTTCTTTAATAAAATGCTATTTAAGATATACATACAACTGCTCTGTGGCCAGGAAAGAATAACACCTTGTATAATTTCCCCTCACTAACATCTTCCACAACCATTAGGGTGCATCCTCTCCATAGCCATTGCCTTCAAAAACCTCCATCTTGCTCAAGAACTCCATAAATTCAGTTTAAACAGAAATAGCCTTTTGCCTATAAAACAACACATTCTTGAGGATGTAATTAATTTATTTATTGAATCACACACCACATTATTATGTAAGAACAATAGTACGACTAACACTTTGGAAATACTTTCTTTAAGTGCTTTTGAATACTTCCAGCTTCCCCTTTCTGAATCAAGCTTCAGAGCATTTTACCTACTATTGAGCATCAGTCACATGATGAGTTGGATGTTATCATAGTAAGAAAAAGCAGTATGATTTAGAGGAAGTTTTATAATTCAACTGAAATGTCTATTGAAAACCTGTGCACCAAGGAATAAGCACACAAAGTAAGAAAGGCTCATTCTAGTGGCAAGAACTATAGCACAGAAAGAAGCTAAGTCAAAAATAACTACAGCCGGGTGGTGGTGGCACAGGCCTTTAATCCCAGCACTCAGGAGGCAGAGGCAGAGGCAGGTGGATCTCTGTGAGTTCAAGGCCAGCCTGGTCTACAAAGAGAGTTCCAGGACAGCCAGGGCTGTTATACAAAGAAACCCTATCTCAAAACAACAACAACAACAAACTTTTAAAAGACTTGACTCTTGCTATTTGTGATTTGTGCTATTTGGCAAAGATCAAACTACCATTTTCTTAGGTATATTTGTGGTTTGAGAAATAATCCATTTAAAGAATGAAGTAATATATTTCTTAGGGCCACCATGGTAATGAATAGGATCAATGTTATTGTACCTTTTCTGTTAGGTGTTTCCTGAGATACCTGTAGAAAATACAATCTTATCATGTTTTGCATTTGTTTTCTGTCTTGTTTTCCATTTGAGGATTTCTACTTAGTTCTATTAATAGTAGAAAGTTTGGACTGGAGACATGGTTCCAAAGTTAAGAGGGCTGGAGCCCAGTTCCCAGGACACATGTTGGGCAGCTCACAACCACATGTAACTCCAGCTCTTCTGGACTCCAGGAACACCTGCATTCATGTGCACATGCCCACACACATAATTAGAAATAAATTTTTTGAGGGGGGAGTTGTGACAGGGTCTCGAATTATAGCCCTGACTAATCTAGAATTTGTTATTTAGACCAGACCGGCCTCTTAACTCACAGGGACCTCTGCCTTTGCCTCCCAAGGGCTAGGAGTCAGGTATGTACCACCATGCCCAGCCACCAAAAGAGTTTTCACATGATAAGGTGTGATATGAGAACTACCTTCCTGGAATGTCTGTTACAGATGAGGGGGAAACTATAGAAATGAGAACAGGGAAAAACAATTGAGAGACAAGGAGCTAAAACCTGAGTGGCCTCGGGAGTGGAAAGGAGGGACAGAAGTGGAATGCAATGAGTGATGAGGCTCACTGGAAAAAGGTTTTGTTTAAAACCGTTCTATTTATGGTTTCCCAGTACCTGAAACTGGAGCAATAAGAAAGAATCAGAAGTGAGAGGACCGCACATGACTGTGGTATGAACAACATTGGAATTCACAGGAGGAACTAGATGTGGGGAGAAGCCCTCCTCAAATCAGTTGTATACAGATCCAGCCCTCAGAAGAATGCATCAGGAACTTGTTTAGAAGCTAGGAAATATACCAGGCTGATCCTGGACACAAACAACAGAGGTGTCAAGAGTAGTTACTATGGAAGTCCCAGAAGTAGGAAAGAAAGAAAACTGCCAACAGAGAAAAAAGAATAAATAGAAAGGTGGACATTGCAGCATGTGCTACATTCTGGAAGCTGCAGGTGTGCTTCAAAGTAGTATTGAGTATGCAGATTTTGAAGATTAGAACAGTGAACAGGTCAGTGTATTTGACAAACAGCCTCCCTGGCCTTATAAAGAACAGTTCTCAGCAGGATGATGAGGAGAGATGCCAAGTTTCAAAAGCTAAAGCCATTCATGGGTTTACAGACTACCATCCAGGAGTTTGGCCATGAGAGGAAGGCAGGAAATAAAGGGACAGCCACAGTGAGGGACTAGGCCCAGGGAAAGTTTTTGTTTTCAGCATATCTTTGCACTTTTGCAAACAAAGGAGAGAAGGTGGAAGGGGAATTGTTGGAGGGCCAGAGGGAAGTCAAATTCAGAGCAGTCTTTTGTTGCATGTTGACATCTGTAACAAATGACACTGCTTTTGGGGAAACTAGTACCTTCCAATAACCTTTCTGGATGTCAGCCACAAACCTGCACAGAAAATAAAATCTCCTGTGAGCAGACAAAATAAATTTGTGAAAACCACACAAAATATAGCTTATTTAGGGCTGGGAAGATGGGTTGGTGGGCAATAAAGGCACTTGCCACACAAGCGTGAAGACCTGAGTTCAAATACCCAAAACCTACTTAAAACTGGATGTGCTATCACACATGTGTACGTTCAAGGCCAGATGTGAGGAAGAGAAGTTCATAGTCCAGCTAGCATGGCATATGCAGAGGCAGATAACAAAGGGATCCTCTAAGTGGAAGGTGAGGGCCAACACCTGAAGTTTTCCACTGGCCTCCTCTTGAGTCATGACATGTACATACCTTTACTCACGTGAATGTTCATACACACATATACATCATACATAAATCTTCCTACTGGTACCTCTGACAGTCTTCGACTGTACTGCAACAAGCCTCACCTAATAGGCAGACATTAATAGTCATAGTGTGGTAGGGGAAAGGAAGCCCTAGAGGACTGAGAGAAAGAGCAACAAGTAACAGCCATGTGGATTGGTCAAGGTCCAGCCCAGGCATACATGCTAGTTGGCATGTACTCTCATACATAAAGACTGACCATATATTTCCCCTAGAGCTCCTTCTCTCCTCCTCTCCTTCTCATTTTAGCCATCTCTGTCTAGTAGTTTAAAACACCCAATCAGAATATATAGTTATATAGAAAGAGGACACCAATTTTACATGTATAAAAAATCCCAATCTCAGGGTATTAGGCGGGGTCGACCTATTTTTGGACTAATGTCTTCTGGGCTTTATGGCATGTAGCCAATAAGCAGCTTCCTGGCACACAGCTTTGGTGTGTCTTCTCTGGGTTTCCTGCAACAACAGGAACAAAGCACCGGCAGCTAGACTAAGAATGCTTCTAATAACTCTTTGGCCAGGTATCCATATAAACTAGACTCATTGAGTTGTGAGAGAATCGTTGCTATTTTATTGCTTCTTTTTAAGTGAGTGCAGCTCAGTAGACGATATCTTGTCTATTATGCATGAAAGCTTGAGAAAGTCCTTGCAGCCCTCACAAGTACTTGGTTAGCACCACTATGTTTGCTTGGTCTTTTATTTAAGGAGGCAGTGGTTATTAAAGAATCTAGAGCAGGCACTGTATCAAGAATTGGCAAGGTGGAGCCAGGCGGTAGTGGTGCATGCCTTTAATCCCAGCACTCAGGAGGCAGAGGCAGGAGGATCTCTGTAAATTTGAGGCCAGCCTGGTCTACTGACCAAGTTCCAAGATAGGCCCCAAAACTGCACAAAGAAATCCTGT